TTTCTTTGGGACCGCATCGCAACTCTGCACTCATCTCCAGGGCCCTTTGTATTTTGTTCCAGACGCAGACCCAGCGACTGCACTGAACCAGAAACTGTCTCAATATTTCAAAATATCAAATGGATCAGTGATGGTAGACGGAGAAGAATGGTTTGAAATCATTCTTTGGATGTTATTGAACAGGATGTCATCTATTGCGCTAGATAATGATGAGAGCTTATTCAATGATAACGGGTTGCTCCACGAATGGAAAGGATTGACAAGGGACGACCACAGGATCCTTTCATTCTGTATATGGGTACATCATTTGTTGAACTACCAAGAAGACAATCGTCTCACTTCAGAGGAGCTGAGAATGTTTGCTCGGAATGTGGTTGGACATGATGCAAATATCCAAAGGGTCTTTGGATTGACGATTCTTCGAGGTGCAATTGAAGGTAAAACCAGCATCCAAATTTTGTGCATTAAGCTGCTACCGGATCTGGCTGGTAGAGGTGAGTCAGAGGAATTGCAGGATATTAAACCACGATTCTGATATGATTCTGACAAAAACTCAAGCTAGAACACGATCTGAAATGATACAATACGTCTTGAAGGTCGTAGCAAGTCTCACTGATCAGTATTCTTGGGTCCGGGCCGCTGCTTTGGAAGCATTTGCAGCTCTTTCACAACACTGTGAGTGGGCATGGATACAAACACGATATCATTCTCACAACCCTCTAGCCGAAACACGATTAGAACTCATACAACATATCCCAAAGGTCGTTGCATGTCTCACTGATCAGGATTCAGACGTCCGGTCCGCTGCTTTGAAAGCATTTGCAGCTCTTTCACAACACTGTGAGTGGGAATGGAAATAACACGATACCATTCTCACAATCCTCTAGCCGAAACACGACCAGAACTCATACAACACGTCTCGAAGGTCGTCGCATGTCTCACTGATCAGGATCATTGGGTCCAATCCACCGCTTTGAATGGATTTGCAGCACTTTCACAACACTGTGAGTGGGTATGGACATAAGCATGATCCTATTCTCACAGTCCTCTAGCCGAAATACGATCTGAACTCATACAACATATCCCAAAGGTCATCACATGTCTCACTGATCAGTGTCCAAATGTCCGATCTGGCGCTTTGAAAGCATTTGCAGCTCTTTCACAACACTGTGAGTGGGTATGGAAATAAGCACGATCCTATTCTCACAATCCTCTAGCCAAAATACGATCAGAACTCATAAAACATATCCCAAAAATTATAGTGTGGCTCACTGATCAGGATTCAGACATCCGGTCTGCCGCTTTGAAAGCATTTGCAGCTCTTTCACGACACTGTGAGTGGGCGTGGATATAAGCAGAATACCATTCTCACAATCCTCTAGCCAAAATACAATCGGAACTCATACAACATATCCCGAAGGTCATCGCATGTCTCACTGATCAGGATGAGAGGATCCGGTACACCGCTTTGAATGCATTTTCAGCCCTTTCACAACACTGTGAGTGGGTACGGAGATAAGCACAATATCATTCTCACAATCCTCTAGCCAAAATACGATCAGAACCAGTACAACATATCCCAAAGGTCGTTGCATGTCTCACTGATCAGGATTGTAGAGTCCGGTCTGCCACTTTGAAAGCATTTGCAACTCTTTCACAACACTGTAAGTGGGTATGGACATAAGCATGATCCTATTCTCACAGTCCTCTAGCCGAAATACGATCTGAACTCATACAACATATCCCAAAGGTCATCACATGTCTCACTGATCAGTGTCCAAATGTCCGATCTGGCGCTTTGAAAGCATTTGCAGCTCTTTCACAACACTGTGAGTGGGTATGGAAATAAGCACGATCCTATTCTCACAATTCTCTAGCTGAAACCCAATCAGAACTCATAACACATATCCTGAAGGTTGTTGCATGTCTCACTGACCAGGATTCAGATGTCCGATCTGCCGCTTTGAAAGCATTTGTAGCTCTTTCACAACACTGTGAGTGGGTATGCATATAAGTATAATCCTTTTCTCACAATCCTCTAGCCAAAACACGATCAGAACTCATACAACATATCCCAAAGGTCATCACATATCTCACTGATCAGCATCCAAATGTCCGATCTGCCACTTTGAATGCACTTGCAGCTCTTTCACAACACTGTGAGTGGGTATGCATATAAGCACGCTACCATTCTCACAAGCCTCTAGCTAAAACACGATCAGAGCTCATACAACATATCCCAAAGGTCATCACATATCTTACTGATCAGTATCCAAATGTCCGATCTGCCACTTTGAATGCACTTGCAGCTCTTTCACAACACTGTGAGTGGGTATGCATATAATCACGATCCTATTCTCACAATCCTCTAGCCGAAATACGATCAGAACTAATACAACACTTCTCGAAGATTGTAGTGTGGCTCACTGATCAGTATTGGAGGGTCCGGTACGCCGCTTTGAATGCATTTGCAGCTCTTTCACAATACTGTGAGTGGGTACAGAAATAAGCACGTTACCATTCTCACAATTCTCTAGCTGAAATACGATCAGAGCTCATACAACATATCCCGAAGGTTGTCACATGTCTCACTGATCAGGATGGGAGGGTCCGGTCCGCCACTTTGAAAACATTTACAGCTCTTTCACAACACTGTGAGTGGGTATGGAATAAGCAAGATCCTATTCTCACAATGCTCTAGCCGAAACACGATCAGAACTCATACAACATATCCCGAAGGTCATTACATGTCTCACTGATCAGAGTTCAGACATCCTGTTTGCCACTTTGAAAGCATTTGGAGCTCTTTTGCAACACTGTGAGTGGGTATGCATATAAGCACGATCCTATTCTCACAATCCTCTAGCTAATATGCGATCAGAACTCGTACAACATATCCCAAAGGTCATCACATGTCTCACTGATCAGGATTGGAGGGTCCGGTACGCTGCTTTGAAAGCATTTGCGGCTCTTTCACAATACTGTGAGTGGTTATGCATATAAGCACAATCCTATTCTCACAATCCTCTAGCCGAAACACAATCAGAACTCATACAACATATCCCAAAGGTCATCACATGTCTCACTGATCAGGATTCAGACGTCCGGTCTGCTGCTTTGAATGCATCTGCAGCTCTTTCACAACACTGTGCGTGAGTATGGATATAACCACGATCCTATTCTCACAATCCTCTAGTCGAAATACGATCAGAACCAATACAACACATCTTGAAGATTGTAGTGGGGCTCACTGATCAGGACTGGAGGGTTCGGTCTGCCGCTTTGAAAGCATTTGCGGCTCTTTCACAACACTGTGAGTGGGTATGCATATAAGCACAATCCTATTCTCACAATCCTCTAGCCGAAACACGATCAGAACTCATACAACATATCCCAAAGGTCATCACATGTCTCACTGATCAGGATTCAGACGTCCGGTCTGCCGCTTTGAATGCATTTGGCACTCTTTTTCAGCAATGTGAGTGAATGCTAATATGCACATGATTTCGACCTCACCCATTCCAAGCCGATTTACAATCAAAAATCACACATCATGTTCCAATTGTCATCCTTTGCCTTTACGATTCATCTTTTAAGGTCAAGGAAGCTACCTTGAATACAATTGGGACTCTTTTGCAATGCCGTAAGTTATTCTGCTTGACCAAAACGTCTTGATCTTACTATTCTTCCAGCCGAGTTTGTACTTGAAACTGACAAACTACGAACTATTTTTGGATATCTCCATCATTCGAGCGGTGCCTTGGTCTGTGCAGCCATCAATGTCACAGGACAAATTGCGGCACATAGTGAGTAAACAAACTCCTCTTCTTCTATGAAACAAACCCCTTTCGAGCTCAATTCAAGGCAACGGTCCACACACAACTTCCAACTCTCATGAGCTTGCTCGGGCATGCAAAATTTGATGTTCGAGCCACCTCTGTTACCGTATTGTGCAGGATGGCACAAACAGGTTTGTCGATTCGTTCATTGTTGACAAGGCTGAAACAGTATCCAGACGATTTCAAACCAATTATTGAGACTGAAGCGTCAAAGATCGCCAAGTTGCTCGGTGACCCGGAATCCAGTGTCCGAATTTCTGCTGCAAAGGCACTTTCTCCGCTCCGTTCCTCTGGTCAGTGATTGAAGTATCCCCCTTTTCGCCACTGACTCGATATAAAGACATATGGAAGCCGATCATTGCGGACGCTGTGGCGGAATACGGCCACCTTCTAAGCGAGGAAGAATCATCAATGCTGAGCGTCGAGCCTATTATACCAAATGGAGACAGAAGAGCGACGAGAGCTGGAACAGTGAATTCGTTGGACAGAATCCAAGTGCAGGCTCACCGATACGACTCGCGTCCTTGTTCATTTCCTGATCAGGATGGCTATGATCAGGATGGATATGATCAGGATGGCTATGATCAGGATGGCTATGATCAGGATGGCTATGATCAGGATGGCTATGTAAACTTCATGTGACATATAATATGCATATAATCTTCGTTCCTTCAAGCCTCGGATGAATTTTAGGTCTTTGTGATCTCTTTAGCTTGTGTAATCGATACCTATCAATTCGTTACAATCTCTCGTGACATCAGATGCCAATCAAGACGAACATGGAGCTGTGAAGTAAGGGGCAGACTCAATGGACCAGCGCCTTTTGTGGACTGCAATGCACTAGCATTGTCAGATTTGCGTCTGGAGATACAATGTGTCTTGGAGAAGAACGCAAGGGTATAGTGCGGTCTCGAGGAGAGTCGTATGACGGGTGGCTGCTCTTCCCCTCTCGACCATCTTCCTGGCTGTTCCTGGATGCAACTCGGGTCGCTTCCTCCTTTTCTTTGGACCATTCACTAGCCTTCAGACCTCTTTTCAGGAGGAAGGTCGGCCTACAGACGACTGTGACTGAAGCGACCGCTGAGTTTGGAGCGCGGTGGTGGATAAACAACACGACACAGCAACCATGAATCAGTCAAAATGGACTTTAGGTCAGATTCCTCTGCACGGGTTGAATTTTTGTTGGATGGATCAGCTTTCTTCTACAGATTACAATGCATTAGTATCGCTGGGTCTGCGTCTGGAACAAAATACAAAGGGCCCTGGAGATGAGTGCAGAGTTGCGATGCGGTCCCAAAGAAA